ATTTTCTAGTGAAGCTTTTAAACACAGCATAAACATTTTCACTGATGCAGCGTTGGATATTTCAACGTTTGTAAGAGCCTGGAAAGTTGATTTTGGATATCTAAATCTACAGTTTATAGACTGGTCTGCCTAGGAGGGCCACTCAACACAGTCTTTGAGCAATGGCGATCAACTGAACACCCAACTAAGATGTTTTTGGAAAAGTTAGTCTGAATTTTCTAAAAAGCATAATGATATTATGGCTATATATATTCCAACAAGTAGTCATTTAGCCCTTGACTATATTTGGTTGAATTATCCCTGTTATTAGTATGGGGGTTTTATATGACCAAGTCATCCACTGACCTAGACAGGTCAGACTTTCCAACAGCTATTTGAAATGCATGACACGTTCTGGACAGAAGCAGCTGTCAAGGGATGTAATGGAGGCACCTTTGTGGGAAATACCACTTAATTGTAGCTGATGCTGCTGAGTTAGTCATACTTCCTTACTGCCAGTAGATGAGACACTGTAGTGGAAGTTTAGCTCTATCTCAAGACGGCATGTTTTACAACATAAATTTACAGAAAGAATTGCAGTAATGAAATAATCCAGATTCTGCTCTTTAGTTGTAAACGTGCAATACCCATTCCAACCAACACGGCACAAAACTGATTTTGTCTGGGAGCAAAATATGGCTCAAAACACAAAATGTTAAATTCTGGATTAGTACAGAGTCTATGTCACTAATGGCATAGAATAGCTATCAAATAATTAATAGAAAGCTTCTAAGCACAGCTAGATGTTTTATGAACACATAGGAATGAATTGCTTGATGAGGTCACTTCATTTCCAATGCTGGTGTGCTAGTTAAAAATTGATACTAAAATGTAAAATAAAAAAAAAACTCACTAGAGAAGCATTTTAAGCACAAATTAATAATAAATTTCACTCACAGTTACATAGATTTTCCTGTTGATTTTTTTACTACAAGCTTTACAAAAACTTTCCACTTTTTTTTCTACTGATAGGACAAGGGGTAATGGCTTTAAACTGAAAGAGGGTAGATTTAGATTAGATATTAGGAAGAAATTCTTTACTGTGAGGGTGGTGAGGCACTGGAACAGGTTGCCCAGAGAGGTTGTGGATGCCCCATCCCTGGAAGTGTTCAAGGCCAGGTTGGATGGGGCTTTGGGCAATCTGGTCTAGTGGAAGGTGTCCCTGCCCATGGCAGAGGGGTTGGAACTAGATTATCTTTAAGGTCCCTTCCAACCCAAACCACTCTATGATTCTATGATTTTATTTGAGCCTTCCCTGCCTCAAACACATTAATTTCCTTCAGATGGCAGAAACAAGCTTCTGAAATTCATCAGCATAATTTCTTAGTTGTTTGATAATTCGGTGTCTTATCAATAGGATCAACTACAAGTTGATCAAGTGTTAAAGTCTTGCTTACATTATGAGTAACTGACTGTTCCATTAACCCTAATTTCCCTTGGGCTTTGTACGCTTGTTGTGTGTTGTGTTCTATCAGCTGGGGACAGCCAGTGTGTCTATTTTTAGCAGTGACGTGTTAAACAGCATACACAAGGAAAGACGCAGTAACTATTGAGCAAGGATGCAATGTGAGTGCATAAACATCCCCTACTGACTTGTGTCCTTTCTGGAGATGTTGTTATTTCCATTTTCTCAGTGTTCACAGAAGAAAGGTACAGCTTTGCTAATTAAAGGCTTGCAAAGCTTAGATGGAGTTTTCAATCCACAGCCCCACAGATTGCATTTAGCCTGCCAGAACAATTAATTCAACACGTTTCTCAGGTTCTTCCTATCACACACATCTTAAACTACAACACACAATCTGCTTCTCAAGTTTTATGTTGATATTTCTATCAACACTATCATTATTACCCGCAAGGCTAAACTGTAATTAAAATGTCCATGCTGAGCAAGCCCAGTAGCCAGTATATACATATTCCACCTTAACAACCCCTTATCACATCATCTACCATGTTAATTAGAACAATGTCACAAACCCTTCCTTCTTCTGGATCAAAAGCAAACTATAGAATCCAACTTGACCTCATAATTCCAAGTGGCAAAATTTCTCATTAACTGGGCATCATAAGGACCAAGTTTCTTTCTATTTCTATTTGTGTTCACTATAATTTTAATATAGTTAAATAGTAAAACTTTAGGCAATTGCCATCACAGTCACATAATTTTCTTTTACAGGCAGATGGATAGCACAAATGATGAGGGCCATTAGAAAAGACCTAGCACCTCTGAAGTTACAATCAATATACAAACTATGATATATTGGTGCTTTAATATAGCATGCCAAAAGCCATTTTCTTGGCAACTCCTCTAAGAAACAGTATTTGAAGACTGGGAACAATACGTGAAGATTATACTTGATAAATATATCATGCGTGGTTCATGTTTTACATGTTCATGAATTAAATTGGTCGGGGGCAGGGGGGGGAGAAGGGGAAAAAAAAAAAAAAAAATAAACCACAACCCCATGGCCTGGAAATAATTGAAGGAATATGCTATACTGCGGACCTTCTACTAAGTAATTTGTATGCATGTTGTAACCTTCATCTCATCCAAGATCACAGATTCAAAGACAGGAAAACACGGGAAGAAATAAATCTGCCCAAAAGCTTACAGCTAATCAATGTAATTTTTTAAATCTTTTGTATCTTATATATAAGTATTGTCATAACACAAAACTATGTAAAAAAAACCGTGAATTGTGCAACACTTTCAAATGTTGGTGCTAGTTTCAAAATACTTATTATTACTTACTATATCTGGCACAGTAACTCACTTGCAAATGAATGCACTTTCAGAAATAGGAAACTTTGTTATCCCACCATGATAGAAAAGTAGTTCCTGTAAATCTTTTGGTCTCAAAGTTAGCATGAAGATCTTCTGAGAAGGTCTAGCATTTTAAATTTTGAGTGAATTTGCAGTTTTGTTTCATCTTTGAATAGCATTTTTGAGGGTTACTAAACTGTAAATATTAACCTAAATTTATATACTGCTTTCCTAGTTGCAAGTTCTGTCTTTGCATTTACATGAATCAAAAATAAGTGAAGAGATGTTGGCTCCATTTTCCGTCAACATATTGAGGGATATGGCAAAGGCAGATATGCAAAGGAAAGGAAGACAAGTAGTACAGGGTTGGTGAAAAATCATAACAAAAATGCATGAGAAGCCTTTATATACAATTTAAAATTTCAGTGAAAGTTTGCATTCAACATTATCCTACAGAAGCTGTAAACCTGCAACAGTAGGAAGCACTGAGTGGATAGCATCAATTAATCAAATCCATAGACTTATTTCAGTTTCACTCCCTCCTATTTATTCACGTGCATCAGTAATTTTCACTTTTTTTTCCATCTCTTCCATCAATACCAAAACCATTTTTACAATGACAGCCATTGTTCTCTTCATTTCACATTTGTGATCAGGACTAAACATATTGCTTAGACTTAATGGCAGAGTTCTGGTTAGCATTAAATCTCCTCATTTCAAGTCCCCAGTTACAAAATATTCCTTCCACTTACAGACTCCTGCTGTTACCTTGGGAGTATCTGCATTGGCTCAGCAAATGCTGTTTTCCAACAGCATAAAAAAAAATTCAAAGCACATAATTTTCTTTTTTTCAGTTCATGTTTGAAATGTTATCAGCAACACAGTTAAAATATAGATAGTGGTGGTCTTATATTTTATGCATTGAATACTTCTCCTGGTATGTTGATATAAGACATCTTGATGCAACAAGAGCAAGGTATTTGATTCAAGGTGGTAGTGGTGGTGGGGAGTGATCAGCCCAGGAGACACTGCATTCTTGTAGACCAATAGATAAGACCGTTACCATCTACTGAGACTGAAAAAAAGTGAAATTGCTTCTGTTAATGCAAGTTTGCCATTCATGGTCAATCTATAATGCAAATTATCTGAAACAGTAAGGGATGTAAACAGAAAGCAAGCCTCAAATCTTCACAACCTACACCAGAACACCAGTAATGCTCTGAGACAGACTGCAAATTAAACCTCAGCCTTTCCAGTAGTTTCATCATAACATTACAAAGTCTTAGCAGCAGCTTAAACAGATAACTGCAGCCTAGCTAGCAGAGTGAACTGAGGCTGCTCGAAGTCAGCTTTTTTTCTGCAGCCAGACCTGCAGGAAGAAAACAGAGATGAATGCTTGTCACATCTATACCTCACACTATGCTTAAGATACACAATTCTGTGTTTGCATTGTTTCGGTCACTGCTGTTTTCCAAAACCTGAAAATAGCTCAGCATTTACCAAAAAGGTATTTTATTAACTCGTGCTCTGCTAAAAAAGCATGGTTTTGGCCATAGCTCTTCCCAGAGGAGATAGCATAGAACGTCAAAGCAGTACAGCCTGCCAGCACTAGCAGACAACAAGAGAACAGTTACATGGTAAGACAGGAAGAGAAACTAGGAAGAGGTTGCATTATGGAGTACTATGGCTAAAAAGAAAATTTTAATAGTATATGGTTGTGAAGTAAGTTATTTTGTACATATAAGACACATTAAACAATACATATTGATAAAGGTTGCAGGTAAGATTATTCCCCACCACCACCACCCAGATTGTTTATATAGCACTGCATGTTCTGGTGACTTTATTTTTAGACCTAAAATAAGATAAAGGCTATACGCATATAGGTGTTCATGTATTATAAACTAGAACAGGCTGCCCAGTGTTCTTTTCGAATTTTCAAAAGAAAGAATTTACGACTTTTTTCTCCAGAGATGTAACAATCTTTAGTGAAAAAACCCCAACTCTCATTACCTTGTCTTCTATTAACCTACTGTTATTGATTTATTAATATTATGTTGACTTTAGAATGCAAGGTTTTTAAGTCAGGAGAAAATATAACAGATTCAGTGGTTGTAAAGACCTATGTATTCTGGGAATCTGTGAAAGGGCATTCAAATCACTGAGCACTAAAATACAAACCACACAAATAACCATATTCGGTCTGTTATTTTTTTTTCAAATGTTGTAAATATACAGCAGTGTAACAAAAAGTTCCATTTAAATGGTACATCCAAAAGCAGCAGGTCACTAATATGCTCCTGGAAAAGATGCAAGTTTGTCCATTCTAGATAAGACTGTGACCAATTAACTGTGAATCTGTTACTTTCATCCTGTGTAGAAGGGGTCTTGTTACTTGCTAAATTTATTTTCCTGTTTGGACAGGAAATCATCTTGCTAGCAGTATCTCCGATTTTATTTAAATCATTTCTTATCAAAGTAATCTTCCAGAAGCAAAGGTGATCTTCCAAAAGACAGCAGCTTTAGATTTATAAGTTTATGTTCCTTATACTGTCCAAGACTTCATCATGGAACCAGGTTTCAGCAAACATATTAGAGTTCTGCAAGGCCTCGAAAAGACGCCTATAGTCTTCTGGGTATAAGTTACGTGTTTCAGCATTGTCTGGAATTTCTAGCTCTCTCAGTAATTTGCCACCATTGTCCAAGCTCCATGAACTGAAACAAACACACACACAAAAAAAATCATAGGAGCATTTCTTTCTGTGAAAAATTAAAGAGCAAGAAACAGTATCTGAAGGTCCATTTCACTCTTTTTAGCTTCTAGAAGTTAACATCTTCCTACAACACAAGTTATTTTCAATCCATACTGCAAACAGGAAGAAACCTCTGCTAATAAGACATACAAATACCAAATAAAGCCCCCAACAGACATAGACAATACCAAACCACATAAGCCTCCTCGTTAGAGGGTGGGTGCCCTCCCTCCTTCCTCTGCCCCAACTGCGTAAGTCAGTAACAGGCGTTACAGCATACAAAGGGGTTATTCTTCAATGCCTGGGAAATTAAAGCCAAGGTCATCTTCAAGAGGATGATTCAGCATAGCATGAGTTAGTATGGCTTATACCTCCCAGGTATTTTCTTCTATATATAAACAGATGTATCCACTGTCTCCTCATCTACATCATTGCTATGAAAGCTAGACCTTTTAAAAATGTGCATGTACATTAACTATTTCCCAGACAACAAAAGGGTGTATAAATACACAGAAGATGCACATTAGAAGCACTCAAGGTTAGCTCCACTTCCTGACTGAAGGATCGAGGGGAGATTAGGTACCACCACTGAGATTTAAGAAAGAAAACCATTAAGGCTCTTTGCACTTGTCTTCGCTAAATGAGTTACTGGAAATTATTAGCTTTTTTTTTTCTTCCTGGAAATTAAATTCTATAAACTACTACCAGCAAATGAGAAAGATCTTAATTATTTTCATTAAGAAGCTGAAGTCAATGCTTTCCAGACTGCAGACATTTCCTATTTATGGGAAATGGATGTCTACTGATCATAAAGCAAAGTGAATAGCTCCAATGTAATACCAAAAAGAATAATTAAAGAGAGTTGCATAATTGGCAAATAAATCTAAAGCCTAATTTTTTAATTAGATAACAGAAAGCCACTTGAGGACATCCCCACTCCACCTTTGATAACCTTCAGCTGTTTTCATTAGTGTTACTTTGATGTCTGTTATAAACTGAAACTCTTTTTCAGCTTTTCATTTCTATACCTGCAAAACTCTTGGTGACTTTTTTATTATGTCTGTAAAGTGAATGAAAACTTCTTGTAGATACATGACCTCATCTCCATGGGAGGTACAGACAATTACTGCACATCTACATTCTAAATACTTGTCAACCTTCCTGTCAAACCTCAAGTTTTTATCATCTGTGAATACAGGCCAGGAACAGTCCCCAAAATGTTGTATTGTGGGTTGCAAAAATGAAATCATCTATTCTACATGTAGATAATTTATTTATTAAAAAAAAAAGGCAGCTGTATTTCAGCTGCACATAAATACTGCTTTGAGAACATATTTTAATATTCTCCTATATTTCTCTGAAGTATAAAAACTATAATTCTTTCTTACTTACTTTAATCTATCAGTAAGTCTAGACTTAGGTCTAGCAAGACACTGTTTCACCATGAAAATAAAGGTAGATGAATTTGTGGGATTCAAGCCTCCTGTAAATAGATTTTGCTGAGGAGTCAGTCGTACCAAACATAAATGGTCATTTGGCAGCCACTGCAAGAAAAACAAAACAAGTCACTGAGAAGTCATTTTTAAGACAGTGTCTGTCTTTAGCTAAGAGAAAGCATTTCATCTGTGCCACCAGTAACATTTCTTAAAGAGTTTTAGAAGTCTTAACAAGATGACTTCATTGGAAGCTGAGGCGTTAAAATTCTGTTCTATAATGAAGATGCTTTACCTCCCCCGCCCCTCAAACAGGAAAGGAAATAGAAAACACAACAGACATACTATCACTTTGGGTTTATTTTTAGTTTTTAAGACTGAACTTTCTTAGTTGAAATAGAAAATACAGGCTTGATGTGAGTTCTCAAGAGATTATATGGCCTATAGTATTCCTATACTATGCAAGGTATCAGATCAGATCATTTCAACTACCTGCCTTTTGTATATAAAGATGGAATTATTTGAGTGTAACACTAAGACAATACTGCAACTTGAGGATTTTATGAAATTGGGAGGGAGTGGAATCTTTTAACTGAAATGAATGTGCTTCTGTATCGGCAGCAATGGATATATCATCCAATAGATCTCACATCTGTACTTCTCCTAAGGCTGTCACAATACATCTTACATAATCCACCTGATATGCCTCTCTACATGGCTTTACAGCAACACACCTAAGTGTGTAAGGCACACCCAGTCACTTAGACTCACTTATAGTCATTTATATTGTGCAGTAAAATCTCAGACAACACTCAATATACTACCGTAGCAGTTTCCTGAGGAAGGTAAAACCAAATATTAAGTAAACATGCTTTTATATTATTGGTATTAAATAGAAATATATTATACAAAGGAACATCATTACTTCTCTAAAAGAGAAAAGTAAAGAACTTTATACAAGGTATTTTTCCACTTCTCAAATTTAAGGTTTTGAGACTCACACTTTTCAGCAACTAACTAGCACATGGAATCTACACTGGACAAGTGAATGACCACTGTAATCAAAATGAGCAGTGTACTGATTGTGCTATTAATTGTGGTAACACTTGTATTGTTCAAGCAGGTAGATGTGACCCTGTCAGTAACTTCTTTTGAAAAAGACTTTACCTGTTCATATCCCTTTATGCTGTTTATTCACTACATTTTTTCCATCATAGAAAATAAAGATACTAGTTTATTTCAGTTTCTAAGCTAATAGCAATTCTTCACCCCACTTCTGATGCATCTACATGCTGCCTCTAAATTTTAATCAGAAGAACACTTCTTTAAAAATACATGTGTAAATGCTGTTATGAAGTTATTTTAACCTTTAATTAAAAGTGGTTTAGCTGCATCTCCAAAAGGAGAAAAGTGCACACAATGATCTTACCGTGCTTTTTGGTACTGCCCGTCCCCCATTTTTCAAATTAGTTACAAATGATGACCAAGGTTCCTATGGGAGGGAGCAAATACATTACAGAATTAAAGTGACAGAATAGAATAAAATAGAACAGAACGGAACAGAACATTTCAGTTGGAAGGGACCTACAATGATCATCTAGTCCAACTGCCTGACCAATTCAGGGCTGACCAAAAGTTAAAGCATGTTATCAATGGCATTGTCCAAATGCCTCTTAAACACTGTCAGGCTTGGGGCACTGACCACCTCTCTAGGAAGCCTGTTCCAGTGTTTGACCATCCTCTTGGTAAAGAAATGCTTCCTAATGTCCAGTCTAAGCCTCCCCTGGCGCAGCTTTGAACCACTCCCACACGTCGTATCACTGGATACCAGGGAGAAGACATCAGCAGCTCCCTCTCCACTTCCCTTCCTCAGGAAGCTGTAGAGAGCAATGAGGTTGCCCCTCAGCCTCCTTTTCTCCAAACTAGACAAGCGCAAAGTCCTCAGCTGCTCCTCATAAGACATTCCTTCCAGCCCTTTCACCAGCTTTGTTGCCCTCCTCTGGATGCATTCAGGGACCTTTACATCCTTCTTAAATTGCAGGGCCCGGAACTGCACACGGTATTCAAGGTGAGGCTGCACCAACGCTGAACACAGCAGGATGATTACCCCTTTTGACCAGCTGGTTGTACTGTGTTTGATGCCCCGCCCAGGATGTGGTTTGCCCCCCTGGCTGCCAGGGCACACTGCTGACTCCTATTGAGCCTGCTGTCAACCAGCCCCCCATATCGCCTTCTGCAGGGCTGCTTGCCACCCACTCCTCTCCCAATTTATACTTGTGCCCAGTATTACTCCATCCTAGGTGCAGAATCCAGTATTTAGACTTGTTAAATTTCATCCCATTAGTCATTGCCCAATGCTCCAATCTATCTAGATCCCTCTGCAAGGCATCTTGTTCCTCAAGAGAATTAACAGCACCTCCCAGTTTGGTATCATCAGCAAACTTGCTAATGGTGCATTCAACTCCTGCATCCAGATGGTTGATAAATATAATGAACAGAACGGCCCTAGAATTGAACCCTGAGGAACACCATTGGTGACCAGTCACGAGCCAGATGTAGCCCCATTCACTACAGCCCTTTGAGCCCTGCTGTTCAGCCAGTTCTCCACCCAGCACACCATGAACCCTCTCATCCTGCAGTTGGACAGCTTGTCCAGAAGGATGCTGTAAGGGACAGTATCAGAAGCCTTACTAAAATCCAGAAAAACTATATCTACCACCTTCTCTTTATCCACCAGGCAGGTGATCTTATCATAGAAGAATATCAAATTAGTTAAGCAGGACTTTCCCTTTGTGAACCCATCTTGACTGTGTCTGATGATTGCATTAGCCTTTAAATGCCTTTCAGTAGTACCCAGTATAATCTTCTCCATAACTCTTCCAGGTACTGAGGTTAGACTAACAGGTCTGTAGTTCCGTGGGTCTTCCCTCAAACCCTTCTTGTAGATTGGAATAACATTGGCTAGCTTCCAGCCAGCGGGGACCTCCCCAGACTCCCAAGACCTTTGGTAGATGATCGAGGGGGGTGCTGCCATAACATCCGCTAGCCCCTTCAGTATTCTGGGATGAATCCCATCAGGCCCCATGGACTTGTGAACATTCAGCTGATACAGCTGGTCCCTTACAATTTCAGTGTCCACAAATGGAAAGTCACTGTTCCCACACTCGTGTTCTTCTGACTCAGGGGACCAGGCAGCCCAAGGTCTATCAGTATTATTAAAGACTGAAGCAAAAAAGGCATTGAATGCCTCTGCTTTTTTTTCATCTCTATTAGTCGGATGACCATCTTCAACAAGTATCATCTTATTCTTCAACTCCTTAATATTTACCTTAATATATACCTCATGGCATAAGGTATTTGGAAGACAATAGATAGAGAAACTTTTAATTTTAGATTAGGGAAACATTTAAACTATGAAAGTAGGTTACTTGAAAAACAGAGCACAAAGATAAATCTAAAAAGCATGAAGTGCAAGTTCATGGCCATGTGCTCATATGGAGGTGGGGGGGCAACATAAAAAAAATTTTCAAGAAGTAAACCATAGCATGTTTGACAAGGTAGGATAGTTATTGACTAGCAGGAGAAGCAGGCCTGCTTGGAACATAAAGGCACCAAGACTTAAAAAAAAAAAAAAAATTCTACTGAACACAGCTCAGGAAGTCAAAAGCATACATGATTGCAAAATGCAGAGGACATAAAAAAGAGCAGACTATGACACATTGGAAGAGCAGCCTTCTAGCCTCACACAACCCTTAGCAAGATGGAAAAGACTTACCTGTTGCACAAACATCTCTTTCATATCTACCAGCTTCTGAGAATAAATGTTTTTGAGTACAGTGGCTTGTAATGAAAATACTGACATCATAGTTAATAACGATGCTGATTAAGTGAAAGTTTTACACAAAACATGACTGTTTCAGGTTTTTACATCCAGAAGTTTTCAATAGGTCTCCAACTAATTCAAATGTCAAATTAGCTTTCAATTAGTTTACGATAGTGAAACACTATAAACCCTTTCTAAAAACATGTTCATAGCATTAGACTATGTCAGGTGGTACAAAACTTACCATGTGCAATAGCTGAATTTCACATCCTACTTGCCAAAGTATAGTAAGCGCTTGGTAAGCCCTCACTTCCCCAGGCTTTGCTGTTAATACCTAACAAAATGGCAAAGAAAGAGCATTTTTGTTGCAAAACTAAGATTGCTTCTTTATCTAAGCAAAATCCTTATATATATAATGAGTGGTAAGAAATTCATAATTAAGTCTAAAATTCCAAGGTGAAGTTACATTAGGCCTCAAATACATACTTTGTGCTATTTTAGTACATCTTGTCAGAACACATGATTAGAAGACATTATGGCAGTCTAAGTATTTCTTTGCAGCAGTTATTTGGATAACTGAACTGTGCAGGAATTTCCAGCTTATACTTTCTGGTCCTTTTTAAGGCAGGGAAGTTTCACAAAGAAGAGAAACAGATCATATTTTGTATAAAAACCATAACATGGGCAAAGTTATTAGGTCACATTGATAAGATAATATTCCCAGTAAGACACACAGGCAGAGTAAGCAAAATATCACGTGACGTCACTGAACATTAAACAGCTTGTGCAGTCATCATCCTGATCAATGTTACAGATCGGACAACTCTCAGGGCAAGAAAAAAGGAAAACTTGTGGTTTTTCTCAAACAGGGCAAGTAGTAGTAAATAGTAGCAGGAAGATTTAACTTCTTATAATAGATTTAAAGAGCCTTGTCATATGATCAACCAAAAAAAAAAAAAAAAAAACAACCCCCAAACCAAAAAGGAACCAACAGTGCCCACTAAAAGAAGGTTCCAATTGCTTTTACTTAGGTATACAACTCTCATTTAACAGGGTTCACAATAAAACCAGAAAACTTGGTGAAGAAAAACAGTGACTGCATTAAATGAATAGGCTGCCCACTATTTACTCAAAAATCTGGCCATTAAAAACATACCATTTAAGTGGATATTTCAGTGGGGGCCAACCTGTCATTTCACAGAAGAATATACTTAAGACTTTTAATTTTTTTTCAGTAGGGTGTTAGACACAACACAGGTTGTGTAAGCACACCTGGAAGTCTTTGCTTACTTCAAGTAATTAAAGGTTTGTGGCTCTGTATGAACCTCACAGTTTAGCAGAAAGAAGGGGTACACTTGAACTATAAGTACAGTTCTAGAGGTTTGGGACAGCGTAAATTAGGAACGCATAACCCAGAAAGCTGCTCTGCACCTTAGTGTACAGAACCTTAATAAAAAGGTGTGTAAATCACTCATATTTTGCCTCAGTTTTTTCAGTACTGCGTACAAAAGTGGATCAAGAGGACAATGCACCTGAGTATGGTATTTAGTAACTCTCAGTCCTCTTCACAAGGCATTTTGAATTCAGTCTTCATTGACTATTACCTGCAACTAGTAAGCAATTTTGTTGCAAAAGCACCTTACAGAATTTAAGCACTTCACAAGTTACAATGGAAAGCAGCCAGTCTGCTGCTGCATATCCTTCTCAAGGACCAGTCTTCACATTTGTAAGATTTGTGGTTATGTGACAACAGAATGTTTCTCGACAGTGCTACTACTGCATAAAGAGAACAAGTAGGAAACAGACAAGACTTAAAAATTCTGCCAGAAAAAAGAAATTCACTAGCAAAAACATTAACTATACAATATAAATGTTTTTGTGTTCTGGGAAGCACTAATTCTTTACTACCTGTAAAACCTCTTACACATACCTTGTACTCTTTTTCACTTATAAAGATGTTGAGTTCTACTCTTCCATATCTGTATATGGAACTGCATTCATACAGGGCAAAAAGAAGCCTCCAAAGTGTGTTCCTTTCCTTTTTTTGTGGTAAGATCCCAAAAATTTTCAGAGGTACATCTGTTTCAATAGTGTGTAAAAGTATCTTTAAAATTTTGCAGTATATACTAGACAATCTCATTAATGCTAATGTCTAAACTACAAACAACTGGGAAAAGAAACTCTGTCAGCTCATGTTGTTCAATAATCTAATACAATTCAAGCTTTAGTCAAAGCTTAGCCCAGTTTGCATTAGACTACACCTTTATTAAAGGCAAGCAAATACCTGAGATTTCATATTTCCACAAGGGTTTTTTAAAGCTATCAAGAACCTAGATAAAGCTGAAATGTAGGAAATGGCATCCATTAATCCAGCATATATATTAAATAGAATATACACCTCAAGGAAATCCCAAAGATTTTGCCAAACTGCCTATGCACCCTTCAAATGTATTTGTAACATGTTTGATCATATACACATACCTGCCCTCCAAGGAACTGCTGCTACACCCATGGTTTCAAAAAGTTTGTCAGAACACACAGCAGGTGGTTTCACTGTTCCAGTCACCAAAGGATCCAGTCTGAAGAAGTCACCATAAATTACCTTTAATTGTCCATCCAGGCTATTCTCTAGGGACTGAATAAAATCAGTTTCAGCTGAAGAAATCTGGATGCAGTAACCTGTCTTGCAAAACACCCAACCCAAACAAAAAAAATGTTCAAGCACTACCTAAAATTGTTACCCAGTTAACAAGAGTCAAATCTCAGAGCTGCTTCTTACAGCTGATAAAAAGAATAGCTTCCTTCATTGTGCAGGACATTTTGACATTTTTGTGTTGTTCAACTGGAGCTTTAAAACACATTCTTAAATTAGTAATATGTTCTGCAATGTTTTGCAAAAAAAGCTATACTCAACTAAGCAAACCACTGCATTTAATGATTTGCAACTGGAATTCTTCATATACACAGACAGAATGCCTTTTATACACATTTTAAGTCAGTTGAGAGTCTTTGGTTCCAAACCTCTACTGCTGAACACGCAATGTAAAACCAAACAATACGTACTATTATTAAGTGTTATTTCAGATGTTACAAGTAACAATCACTAGCTAATTCCTTTTTGATCCAATAGTTATTAAACAATTGTAAGTTAATTTATTTTTTCCCCTTTAAGTTTTAGAAATGTGCTACCAAATCAAAAGTGTACCTGTAAGTTTGGAAGAAAAGCTGAGCTGCTTTCCAGAGCTACCACTCTAACACCTGCATTGAGCAGAGTTCGGGTCAAGATTCCAGGACCTGAAGGGGGAGAAAAAAAAAAAAAAAAAAAATTTAAAAAGCACTTTTTTTCAGTGATTTCCTTTAGTGATTTTACCAACACAACACTTGGGACATACCACCTTCAACAGGAGATAACTTGTGTTTGTTGAAACACACTTCAAAACAAGAGTTAGAAAAAAGATTTACATGCAGCCTGTCTGAGATTGCTCAGTGAATTACACTAAGCACAGCATTACAGTCAGATAGGGAGGAACGTTAGATATAGTGTTTCAAATATTTCTACTGCTATTTCCTCTACCAGCTGAAATCTACCTTGAAACCTTACCCGTATGATCTCTACAGGCAAAATACCCTCTGCAGAAATGTAAAAAAATATTAAGTAACTGCAGAGGGCTAGCTGCATAATGGCCCACAGTCTTAGGCATGCATTTGCTGACAAGAGATAAAGTTCACCTACAAAACCAAGAATATTACCGGGACAGAAATTTACATCTTTACTACCTCTATAGCAAAGTTTTAACACCAGCGACTCGAGTCTCCAGGCTGAGCACTCGCTCATTCCCCGCAAAGCTCTGCGTAAACGGACCCCCTCGCCACCCGCCCCAGGCACACCGCAGTGCCGCGGCACCCACACGGACTTGCGGGTCGCCAACGCCCGCCCAGGAGGACCCTAGGGCGGCGTCCGGCGCAGCGCCCCAGCACGGATCCCGTCCCGGAGGGCCCGGGCAGCGCCGCCGCGGAAGGGAGCCGCCACCCCCGCCCGAAATCCCGGGCGAGGAAGGGCCCCGTCCCCCTCCCTCCGCACCACCACCTCTCCGCGGCCCCCCGAAGAGCAGGATCTGGGGCCCATTACCGCCGGCGGCGAGGGCGGCAGCTGACGCTGACCCCGCAAGGTCACTGGGGCACGCCGAGCAGAGCCGCATCCCGGCGGCCCCGGGGACGGCTCAGCCCCGGAGAGGCCCACCGCCGGAGGGCAGCGGGAAGGCGGGTGGAGGAAGGACGGTCGGAGCCTCGGGGCAGCTTACCGGGCGCGCACTCGAGCAGGACGGGCCGGGGACCGGGACTGGCTCCGCCCTGCAGGCAACGCTGCACAGTGCGCGCTAACTGCGGGCAGGCAATGAAGCGGCGGAGCGGAGCTCTGATCCGCTGCAGCTGCTGCGCCTGCTGCACCAGCCGTTCCGCCTCCGCCGCCTCCGGCACCCGCAGGCCCGGGCTCGGCCAC